TCAAAATATATTAGTGTATGGTGCTCATTAGTGATATGCTTCCAGATGAATATCCCGAAGTTCTAATGAGGAGCCATGACCAGTGGGGTCAAACAGTCGGAAGTGAAGTGGACGCCATCTGAAGACCTTGGGTGATAGTCACGTTATATAACTGATTGACAGGATTAGGAAACTGTGTAGCACTGAACTCCGATTCAGTGGTTGAATTATTGACATGTTCTACATCAGACCGTAAGGTGTTGAGTTCGATTTGTAGATGAGTCGTGGGTGTGTACTACTGAGTAGTCCCATAGTAGGATAAAACAGTTGTCCAGTGCTTCTATATTACTAATCATTTCTCGAATGACGTCAGTCCGTGATGAATGCTAGTCTAAAAATAATTTTTTCACCACAAAAGTAAAGAAATCCTAACATTTACTTATCTATAAAATATAAGTAGTAGATATTAGTACTAACGCCTCAAAATTTAATTCTTCTTACTGAAAAACTGTAGGATAGACACTAAATGAAAACTTCGCGAAATAAATAAACCGCTGAACATTGAGAATATATATACGAATTAAATCAGTCATATAAAGTTGTGGGTGTAGAATGTACAAAGAGTAATAACGATGATGATAATAATACTAAAATTCTTCCCGCTTAAGTGAAGAAAGCAATGTAAGGCGTTCTACTAGGCAACTAAACAGATATGTTGCTGAATATCTAACTTCATGGTTGGGAAAAGAATAGGTAAAATTCATAAGAGGCTCTGTATTATCTCATTTATTTGATAACAATCACTAAGTAGATAAGAGAGGTGCTTTCAAGATTATGTATCGCATACCATGTGACATTTTGAATGGTATCCGAACTCATTTTTCACATATAATGCAAAATATGAGCATTCGAAGTAATAATCCTATTCTTTGATGCCTTCATCTCTTCCTTGGCTACAGAAAACTTAATGAATGGCTTTATCATTGAAATTTTTCTGTACCTTTTATATAGTTATCCTATTTGCTTAGACTCCACCTATACACTCACTTCATCCTTTATTGTTGATTTACTCGTATTTTTCCAAGCTTTCGATCCATTTTGATCATCGAAGTGTCTATATTCTCATGCTGGTTTCTTGGCTCTTGTCATCACTACTATTTGCATCATAACTGTTTTAGTCAACACTGTCACTGTAACTGCCAGTCTCAGTATATTTATTATTGGCACCACCGTTATTAATATCTCCATATTATACAGCACTCATCATTGGCTGACAAATCTACACGACTAATCTAACTTCCTGTGTATGTCAGGCTACTTTTCTAGACAGAAACCTGAAATGGATTTCAATGAAAACCGTATTAGTCTCTCATATGCTTTGTTTTATTGAATGCTACTTTTTTTGTTATAATTTACTCGGTGGTGGTTATCACTGGGACCTAAGACATGTGTTTCATTGCATTTGAGACTCATCAACTGAAATTACCTGCACTCTAGTGTGTCATGTTCTTCCCACTGAGACTTGAACACCATATCCATCACTTCGAAGGTCAAAACGTTATCCACTAGGCCACTAAGGCTCAATGACCACTTCTCATATAACAAGTATCAGTCACTATAATTTTTTGGTACTTGTAATTCCCCGTTGCTGTACTGGGTCGAACTGATCAACTTCTGTTGGTATATGGGCTCCTTTGCGGATGTCTCGACATTGCCTAATAGTGGATTCTACGACGCTCTTTTGGAATCCATACAGAAGCACATATGACAACAAAGTTGATCAGCTGAGTCTAGTGTAACAATGGAGAATTACAAGTGTCAACAAATAATAATTTCACTTTTTGTTTTGATGAAAAACTATATCATTGTGTCAAAATGTATCGCTGTCGGATACTTGTTCATATTACCTTATGACTCTCTTATTTGTTGAAATTTCACTACCCATCCAGTAGAAAAGTGGGTGTCAATTCAATATTTAAGAAGGGAATAGACGTGATGACTGTACAATTAGAAAAGGACATTGTAACAAAAATCATATCCTGTTTAGATTTCTTCTTTACCCATATAAATGAGCCGTCTAGGACTCAAATAGTTGGAAAAACCACAAGCAGTTGTGAGCATACGCAAACATGGGGAAGATCCCATGTCGAATCAAAATCTCGAGCACTTTTTAGTTTGGTTTTCTTGCTCTATAGGGTTTAAGTTTCTTAGGCAGAGCTTTCCACTTTGATCTAGGCATTGAAAACCCTATCCTGTCCACAAAATTCTTGCCTCATATAGCTACATAACCTCTGTCAATACCTTGAATTTGAACTATTTTACCAAAAGGAGACAAACTGATATACCAGTTGAAAATAACTGGTAGAAATCGAAGTAGTACTGTTCAGGATCTACTGTGAACTACTTTCAATCAGTCAATATAAATGCCCTCGAACAGTAATAATTCATCCTATCTTCGTAGTGTTCACTAAGACGCAAATATACGCAGAGATATCTCGTTATTCTATGCTATCTGAGTTCCAAACTATAGTGTTAACAAGCCAACAAAATGATAGAAAACTTGAGATGAAATACTGCGTTTCCTCTCTGCTCTCATCACCAGCTGATATTCCTAAGGATCAGGAATACTGTTTCGGCTTCTAGTTCCTTTTATGTAGCTCAAATACCCTAGAACTCTCGTCAAACTAATATTCTTCCAAAACGAAATAGTCATTAAGGCTCTTTTATACATTTTATTCACCTGGTACTAGATAAAATGGTGGAAGTGTAATTTTCAACTTGATTACATTTTATCTCATAAGCTTCCAAAATATATGACTGATCAATCGAAATCTACTCAGCATCTCTGTGCATATTCGTGAAGTAAGCAGTCAGCCATATCTATTGGATTATAACAATACGTGACTATCCGAACCATGGTAGGTCGACAGAGTTTCAAACCAGTGCCCCATCGATTAGAAGTCAAATTTCTAGCCCAACAAGCCATAGGTCCACTACTTAATGAGCAGGAAAATTAAACACTTCGCATATTAGACCTTAATATTCTTAGGTCGGCGTTCTGATGAAAGCAAGCCAAAGCGCACGGAGCAAGAAGCTTATAAATATCAAACTAAAATTGAAATAATGCCATTTTTATCATCATCATTGACACAATATTCTTGATAAAAAACAAACAAAAGATTCACAAACGGAGCTATGAGGGGTTTAGTTGATACAGTTACATAATATTGAGTGGAAGAAAACTAGGTTAGAAATGATCAGTAAAGTCTGCTAGATGATCATGACAAGGAGACTAGCTAAGACTATGATAATAGTGGAGCCAAAAGCAAGAATAACAGGAAAGTTAGTTTCTATGGGACGGTTTTAAAAGCATGAATGATTTGAGACAAAAGGTAAACATAATTTGGACAATAATAGGCTGGCGATTGTCTACTGCTGAATATGGATATTGGGGTTGAATTAATGTTATTCAACTGGACTCCATGAATCTGAGAACTGTTGTCTTTTGTTTGTTTAAGATTTTAATGATGCTTACTATTTGAATAAAGCAAGAACATAGATATTTGAGGAATAAAATGAGGCCATTTTATTCCTTGGCCTTTCATCAGCTGCAAACAGTCCACAATTGAAACGGATTGATAGTAATCATAATATAACATACCTTAAATGTGTAGAAATAAATGAAAACTTGAAATCCAGGCTTAACAATAAGATAGGGATTTGAGGAAATACATAATCAATAATCATAAATCTTGGTCAAAATCAACAGCAATTCATATATGATGAAAAAAAAATTCTAGAGCTGTAGAAAAAGGAGGCACAATAAACAGACAGGAATGTCAAGGATCTAAAGGGTTACGTAATTGCATGGAAAAAAACTTGAAGTTAGGCTAGGAGTTATTAATAGTCAGTAAGTAATTAGTACAGAGAGAGGATGCAATCAAAAATACTACTTACATGCATATTCAAAAGTATATGCAGTTACTGTGGTAAAGGGAGATGAAGTACGGTCTCCTTTTGAGAACAAAGATCGATAGCGAGAGTTTTCTCAAAACGAAATTAACATGGCATTCTTTCTTTACTGATTATCCTGAAAGATTGAGAGATATCTATACAACGTCCTGCTTCCATCAGGTGCCTGACGATTGAACCGGTAAGTACCTTGCTGCCTTTCAGGCACAGATTTCTCGGAATACGCTCATAAAATCGAGTAAACACCTTTCTTTTGGTCCTTATTATGTACCTGCTTCCAAAAGCATAGGTGAATTGATATGCAAAGTTGAAGGTGATGTGAACTATTCATCCGTATACTTTCGACCATGTTATTCAGCATACTGTATTGTAAAGTGACCAGTCTGGTTTCAGATGTTTCATCAACTTTGAGTGCTAGACGAAGGAAAACAGGTTTCTTCTCAACAGCTGGATGTTTGGGTCTTCTCATTAATTCTTTTCTCCTTCATTTATGGTGAATTTCTTTGAATATCAGTTCTCTATAACAGTATCCCCAATGATAGCAAATTCCTCATCCAGTTTGTCTTTTCAGCATAACATTCTTATTCTAGTAAAAGGTGTCTTGATTAAACCACGCCTATAGGAGATAGAACAGAAGCTGTTGTAATGAAGGTACTGATCTATCCAAGTGTCTTCCCTGTGGATGATTTTCTCAACTTCACCGTCACATTTAATGTCTCATACTTGGCTACATGCCTATCACGCTATCAAATGAATCTTGCTTCTAACGAAATATGATTTTCGGTAAAAAAAAAAAGGAGGATGCTTAAAATTTTTGTTAAAGATCAACCTTAATATGTTCGGATATGCTTCCTTCAGCAAATTCATGCGATACAATAAGTTTCTCAGTTTAATAATTGATGATTACTCAAGCAAATTAATTCTACTTCATGTTTTATATTTTACAGAGAATATCACATAACATTTCTGAAGAAAATCCTAATCCCGAAAATGACAATGTAACAGTTGGTTTCATCTCAGACCCATCATCGTCTTCACTGTCAATACGATCAATAATTCAAGCAGAAAAGCAAAGCATTCAATCTCGACTGTTGAATAGTAAAACTCAGAAAAACAATATCAAACTCTTGAATAAAAATAAATTCTTTTCTACAATAAACTGGAAAGAAATTTCTATAGTTTGGGTTGATATAGATAGTTCGATTGAAACTACTTATTACTTTATGGAGACATGTGATTATGCACGGAATCATCAGTGTGAAGAAGTCTACTATGGACACCTAAATATTGGTATACCAGACATATTTACAATGGATATATATCAGAAATCGGTTTGTCAGTCTGTAAGTTTAGACAATAAATATATACAAGGTACACTGAATACCTTAAGTAAGCATTCAATTATCCAATCGGAAAATACAAATAGTGCTTATAGAGAGACAATGTATATAAACACTTTTACACCAGTGAAATGGAAATTTTATGCAACAAGATGGCCGAATTATCTAGTTCCAGGTCGTCAGTTAACTGAAAACTTTTTAAAACCTAACTGGGCAACACCTTATCGACGTGCTTCAACTAGACAACTTTTTGAAGATTTACATCGTTATGTATTGAATGTGGAATGGCCACATGGAAGTCAATTATTCATCCTTGATCCACTTGTAAGTTAAAAATTACTTAATATTATCGGACAAAATTAAAAAATTAGTTTATTTTTAATGATTGATATTGCTGAAATAGATAGCCACTTTTGCATAGATTGACAAAGTTTTAAAGAAGCTGAAATAGCAGTTCAGTAATGAAAACGCAGAAATTGATACACAGAATGTTATTCCAGCAACAACTTGTCTTGAAAATCAACAATGGGAAATATAAGAGTAAAACTTGTGCACTGTGGTAGAATGTAATTACATTTTTATTGATTTATTCGATTTATCACACAGTGGAGGAACAGTATTATTTACTGGATTACGTTTCGGACATAATTTATTGTCCATAGTCACATCAAGATGACTACACAACTTTGAGATATCCTCTATACAGTCCTAATTTTCTCGTCTCTTTGAGAGATGGGCAGTAAGATTTTCCATATATCTGGAACAGGTGTTAAGTCATTCTTGTTGCATGTATTATGTGTTGATTCGATAAACAAAGATTCAGTTATCAATCTCTCCCTCCACCCTGTTATTCTAGTTTTAAGAATTTTCACCTATCTTTCCTAAATTCCTTACCTTACTAGGATCTACCAATTTTGACCTAGCTAAGTTTTTGTGTTCCGATAGCCTAATTGATTCTGATCGACTACTCTGACCTCGCCTGGTTATAACTAGTCCACTAGTTACAATGGGAAGCTCAGTGATGCTTTTGAAGTGAATACAGGAGACAGGAGTGAAACAAGGGATGCCACCTACTATCACCAATGATATTCATGATTGTGGTCGACTGGATCATGCAACCGGTGACTATGAGGAGCGAGAAGAGGGGATACGCTGGCTGCACCGTGGAAAGGAACCCAGAAGATTTGGATTTCGCCAGTGATGACTTATGTCTAATGTCACACAAACTTGAAGATCTACAGACGAAAAGTAACAAATTGATAGAAGAGTTAGGTCAGGGCAGCGAAGACGGGACTTCAAGTGAATGTCGAGAAGACAGAGGTGATGAAGATACCCAACCAACAACAACAACAACAGCAACAACAATCTCCAATGACCATCAACGGGAGAAACTTGAAGGAAGTAGCCTATTTCACCTACACCTACCTAGACAGCATCGTTTCAACTACAGTCGACCGTGGCACACACGAGGACATCAAAGCAGACAGGATAGGAAAAGCAGCACAGGTGTTCATTAACCTGAAACCAGTGTGGAGATCTTCTGCACTCAGCATGAGACAAGATCCGGATTTTCAACATCAACGTCAAGTCAGTTCTCTTGTATGGCTCAGAGACTCGGTGCGTCACGAAAGGCATTTCCAGTAAACTATATACATTCATCAACAACTGCCTTCGCTGCCTCGCTACTGAAGATCAGATGGCCAAAATAATAAGAATGAACAACAAGGAACTCTGGGAACAAACAATCAAGAACCCATCTCTCAACAAATATGCAGCGGAAGGAAGTGGAGATGGATGGGGCATACACTCAGAAGGCCGATTGAGGACATCAAGCTCCAGGACAGGTACTCGAGTGGAATCCAGATGGGAAACGATGAGTTGGGCGTCGAAGGTGAGGGTGACATGGAGGAGATGGTGTGAGGAAGAAATGAGAGCTTGTGGGCAGTCGTGGAGCCAGGTTGTAAAGATTTCAGAGAACAGAGAGCATTGGAGACGTGCTAGTGAAGCCCTATGTTCCATTAGGAACCTAAGGGACAAATAAAAATAAATGTAAAAACTGTGGAGGTTTCGAATTCTCTATTCATAGTATTGCCGCTACTATTATTAAGATCATTATTACTATGAATGTTGCTGTTATTACTACTATTGATAACTGTGTTACTGACTTCAAAACGTCTCACCCTATGTCATTTAAAGTTGGCTTAGTAAAGTGTTTGAGTAACAGGGCCAAAAAGCTTACTAGTAAAACAGAAGATCTAAAACAAGAAACTAGATATATTAAAGACGCCTTAATCATCAACAATTACCCTGCCAAATTAATTGATAAGCTCCTTCGGAATTGTAAGAAAAATATCACTAGCACAGTTGTTAATAGTAGTAATAACAGCAACAATGATAGTAATAATGATGCTGATAATAATGCTAACAATATTAGCGGCAATACTGTGAATAAAGAATTCAAAACCTTTACAGTATTACCATAGGAAGAAGGCACTTAAGAAACACTACGTAGGAATCTCAATAAGTCTGGGATTAGAGTGGCATTTAAACCTACAAACTCACTTCGAAATAGGCTTTGTAGGTTAAAAGATCCTATTGACCCAACTAAGCAGAATAACTTAGTTTACCAAATCCCTTGCAACTATTGCGAGGTCAAATACATAGGTCAAAGTAGTCGATCAGAATCAATTAGGCTATTGGAACACAAAAACTTAGCTAGGTCAAAATTGGTAGATCCGAGTAAGGTAAGGAATTTAGAAAAAAGCTCAGTCATAGTTATGCATGCGATTACACACAACCATACAAGAGGATGGGAAAGGATAGGTGAAAATTCTTAAAACTAGAATAACAGGGTGGAGGGAGAGATTGATAACTGAATCTTTGTTTATCGAATCAACACATAATACATGCAACAAGAATGACTTAACACCTGTTCCAGATATATGGAAAATCTTACTGCCCATCTCTCAAAGAGACGAGAAAATTAGGACTGTATAGAGGATATCTCAAAGTTGTGTAGTCATCTTGATGTGACTATGGACAATAAATTATGTCCGAAACGTAATCCAGTAAATAATACTGTTCCTCCACTGTGTGATAAATCTAATTAATCAATAAAAACGTAACAATAGGGAATTCTAAACCATGGTTACAACTTATACGCGCTAGACAGAAAGTGAATATTGCATTTCAGTAGCCTAACAGGTGGTACAGCGCTGCTCAGAGCAGTGTTTCTTTGACCCCATCAATATTCAGCTCAACAATCAGTACACTGGAAAACAGATATATCCAGATGATAATTGTTTAGAAGAAGAAATGTTTTTTGGACATTACTGCTTATAACAGTATTCGGTTGAAGCTGAAATCAATTATTCTGAACACTCTGAAAGAAGTAATAATACGGGATTTTAAAAATTCACCTAAAGTATTCCCTTCATTTTTATTCAGTAAACGAACGCCTATAAAACAAAATTACCGCTTACTATATGGAATCAAATGCATTGCACTGCAATTCATAATCGTGCAGCAGATCTAACTGGCATAAATTAGATAAACAAAGTAATGAGAACATCAATTTACCCCTGTTTACGTTAGAACGACAAAAGGAAATCAATATCAACCGAAAACGGTGAAGACTAATATCTTCACTCACAAAGAAAAGGCTACAAACAAGAAGACTACCTCACTGAATAACAAGACTTCCGAGATTTAGAAAAAGTCATATATGTTCTTCAATATGACCAAATTTTATGTGTACTTTTGAAACTCTTCAACCAGCACTTCCTATCACTTTCTAATCTCCAACTATTTAAACAGCTCAAAGCAGTGGTCATAAGCTTCATTGGTGTATTGATCAGATCACTATAAAGATTATATCCAACCTATTTGAAGTAGTACTGCATGTTGGTGTAGGTAGTGGCATGCATGTGCAACACACATATTAGCTACCTAATTCGATAAAAGTTCCTAGATTCAGTGCTCTACTCATAAAGTCAGAATTACTTCCGAATACACGGCTGTGCAGTATATTCAGCCCTTAACAGGTTTTTAGATATACCATAAATGCCAAAATTGGTTTCGTTTGGCAAAAGTCAATCAAAACCTTCGTGTGGAAGTCGAGTTCTTATCAACCATCAAGTTACCAGACGTGATGTTATTATCAATGTATGTAAATGAAATGGTGATCACTACGAAACACTTCAGTTTTCATGATTCGATGAGTCATCATATCCACTTGAGTCATAAAGTAGCATTTTTTGAGATATTCATACTGGAGATGAACATTTTAGCCTAACACTACAGACTGCTGATGGGGATCCAATAGAGTAGAGTGGCTTTGACTCCAGCAACTAGCTAGTTGTCGATCCCACAGGATTCCTGGATAAGCGCACATGAAACATATTTTTCGAGCTAATAAATTGTGAAGTTATTTGAAGCACTAGACTACGATCTTGTATGCGGCTCTTTGAGATACAGCATACATCAACAGCGAGGCTTTCCAGAGTCCCAACGATCAAGGTGTGAACGATGAAGGTAGCGAGCTTAAACGATAAACGTCGTTCCAGGATACAAGGTGTCAGACGTCGGAGGACAACTTTATGGGGGGGGGACTCAAAACGGTACAGACAAGCCAGAAGTCTAAGCATTGAAGAGTGGTCGAGTGAAATGAAGATAAAGACAAAAACGAAAATGGTTATAATAAAAAAATACAGTTCATATGTAAGAACAACAAAAACAATATATTGGTAATAAATTTAACAATCAGTGATAGAGTTCGTAGTGCGAAGGGCTTCAATGTTCATCTAAAAGTTGGTTAATTGCTTTGAAATCTTCATTTTATACTATAAATGCATATTTTCAGTAACGGTTGGGATATTACCCGGGGGCCCAGGCAAAGCAGATGGTTGTCTTAGGGGACCACTCTCTGAGCCTTTGACTTAAAGTTTAATGCACAAGGCAGTAGAGCGATATCAGCAGCTCCATGCCCATGGTTGCTGGTGATCAGAATACGTTCATACTCCATTCCTTCAAGCTGGAAGCTGAAGTCTACGTGCACCATTGGTTTGGAATCAGGATTTTCCAATCCCCCTAGGTCAATCCTCAGTATTCACCAGTCTGGTAATCAGCACTGGGTACTCGCTTTCTCTCTTCCACTTCTTGTGGATACATCCTCGCCGTGTGAAGGTAGTGAATATGACTTCCCTGGCACAGGCTGTGAAGGTATACCAGGGCATATGGGGACGGATATTTCATCCTCAGGATATTTGTGACACAACTCAAGTGGATAGTGAATTGAATGAATCATAAAAAAACACCAACGATAC